GCAATAGGCCGGCCGGTTTTGAACTACGCAGCGCCAGTGTGGTCGCCTGGGACTAGTAGGACGCAGTGGACGAAGCTACAGACCGCACAAAACACCGCAATGAGGACAGCGACGGGATGCCTCCTGATGACGCCTGAACACCACCTGCACGGCGAGGCGCAAATGCTCCCGGTAAAGGAGCACAATATAATGCTCTGCAAGCAGTTCCTGATCGGGACCCACAGAAGTGGCCACCAGTGCAGACAGCTGCTTGCAGAGGAGCCCTCGCCTAGGCACGTCAGGAGGCATCTATATGAACTAACGGACGAAGTCCAGAGGTTCATTAAGCAACCTCTGGACCCGACAGCCTACAGACAGGCCTTGAACGGCATTCACAGGGACTCAGTCTCGAGTTATGTAGACTCTAGACCTGTGAATGCCGTTCTAGGCACACCACCCCCGGACATTGACGAGACGGAGCTTCATCTGCCTCGGGAGACGCGCACCACACTTGCACAACTTCGCTCCGGCTACTGCAGCAGGTTAAACTCCTACCTGAGTAGGCTGAATGAGGATGTGCCTAATGAATGTCCGGCATGCGGAGAGACCCCACATGACTCGAAACATCTCTTCGCATGCCCGGAAAACCTACCTACCGGCATGTATTTTGACCCGCTGAATTTGAATTTTAAGTCAGTTTGGGCCGTACACCCTTCAATATCGAGTAAATTGTAAAAATAGCTAAAATGGGAAAATGGTAATAAAAAAATTTATGAATCTAAACCAACCATAATTCTTATGTATTTTGATCCGTTAAATACAAATCTGAAGTGTATTTAGACCATAAACCGTTCTAAATCTTTATTACTTTTAAATTATATGACTTAATTTAAGTTATTGCGTGCGAGTAAACGTATTAGCTGACTGTGTCTGGTGCTACGGGACGTATACGTTACACACACAACGACGATTGAAAGAGCACGATTGGTTCAATCGCTATCAATTTTGCTATTTTTAACATTTTTGAATTTTTTTTTTTTTTAATTTGTAAGAATTAGAAAGGTTTATGGTCTAAATACACTTAGATTTGTATTTAACGGATCAAAATACATACATAAGAATTATGCTTGGTTTAGATTCATAATTTTTTTTTATTACCATTTATCCCATTTTAGCTATTTATACAATTTACTCGATATTGACGGGTGTACAGCTCAAACTGACTTAAAATTCGGATTCAGCGTGTCAAAATACATGCCGGTAGGTAGGTGTGTCGGATGTTCAAACAACTTTTTTTTGTGTGCCGGTGTAACCATCAGTTACCACCTCTGCATGGTTGTAATACTACATTCAAATTGACGAGTTAAATATGTTAAATGGGATTGAACCAGTTAAATGAACAAAACGTGTTTTTAAACAGGTTAAATCGCATGCAATTGTTGTTGGAAAATTTAACCAGTTAAATCATTTAACTCGTTTGAAAACCAGTTCAGCGCAGAGTTGTATCAGAAAGCTTTCTGCTTCAGCCAATCAGAAAGAGCCAAAAGCTTTCATTTGACACGCCAACGTTCAAAAAATTCATATTCTCAAAAATAATAAAAATTAAAAACTATAAAAAAATATCAAAATTGCATGCATGTCTGCCCGCCAAAAAAGAGGCCAAGGCGGTAATCAGTTATTTCCCATCAGGTCTCATCGTACACAGAGATAAATAGTGCATACCTACTTAACATTTTGAAGTGTCTAAGTAATACGTGTGCGCTAATATCATGGAGCAGACCTTCACACAAAACCAATAGAAACAAAAAATTTATTTTTAATATTTTTTTTTTTTTAATTATTTGAAATCAAACAACTGTCAAAGTTAACTCCAAATGTTCAATGTGGACGATTGTGTTTTACAAAAAGCTCTTTTTCATTTAACAAGTTAAATGGGGCCAATTTGAACGTAATATAAGTCATGCAGAGTCGCGGCTTATGGCGCTGTTGCTTTGCCGTTTAAAAACTCTGTAAGAGTTTTTGGGGGTGTGCGTCAAGCCGGAGTGTTGAGCACCGGTTATGTATTCAAGTTCAAAAAAGTGGGTAGGCGCTGTGACCAATGGTAACCTTTGTACCAACTCTGTATGCCGAAAGCCATACAGAGCCCCGTGAGACAACTCCGGAAGAGTTGTGATGCATCAAGCTGGATTGTTGAGCATCGTGTTTGGGTTGATGCGTCTAGCAAGTTGAGCATTGTGGGTTGAAGCCTCAAGCGAGTTGAGCATCGTGGGTGGATTAATGCATCAAGCGGGATTGTTGAGCATCGGTTATGTATTGAAGTTCAAAAAAGTGGGTAGGCGCTGGGACCATTAGCGCACACAAGGGGTGGGTTTTGGGGTTCAAACCCCCCTAAAGCTAATAACCTCAAATACAACCTGTATCTTAAAGCTGAGAATCCAGCTCTCAAGTAAATTATAGGAAATATTTATTATAATTTCTGTTGCTTGAAAAAGCGCTTTGCTTTTGCTGTAAATTTTCATGAGGGAATAAATATACGAGCATTTTTTTTTCTTGAGAGCTGCAAACTGATTTAAGAAATTTTGGTAGAAGAAAATTTCTTTTCCATTTCTCGTCCGTCGTTTTATATGAATTTTTCGTTTTTCAGTGAGAGTTCAGTTAATTTTTTCGGTATTTGAAATATTAAAAAAATTTAGCAATCGTGAAAAATCACCATCTATCAAAAACCAGAAATCGAAAAAATTAACATAAAAGTGCAAAAATTCATGGAATCAATAAATTTATTTTTACTGACTCTTTTTAGAATTTGTTATTAGGTACTTTTGAAAGCTGAGCGCATCTTGAGTTTATAGAACTTTTTACTAAACAAGTAGTTTTTAAGGAAAGAACACAACCGACTTCAATTCTCATATTCAAATTTAGAGGTACCGTTAATTTCTTCATGATCCAATCATCGGATCTCTAAAACAAATTACGGGACGAACCTTGAGGTACTATCTTTCAAAAAAAAAAAGGATTATTGAAAACGGTTCACGTGGTCCAAAGTTATGTATTCCGGCGAGATGATAACCTCCCTTTTTTTGAAGTCGGTTAAAAGCGTTTGAGTTCTGTTAATCTGTAAATAAAGTGCAGTTAATGAATTTTAAAACGTTTATTTATTTATTACATACTGTACATAAAACTTGCATAAATGTATTTTAAAGAGGGTATTATCTGGAGCAAATTTTCAGTATTTTCCGGTGATATATCTTCAGAAATATAAAACCCCCCCTAAAATATATTCCTGGGTGCGCCCCTGGCTGGGACCAATGGTAACCTTTGTACTACCTCTGTATGCCGAAAGTCATACAGCGCCCCGTGAGACAACTCCGGACGACAGCCGGTTCTACGTACGGGAATGACTCGGGTTTCACCCGACCAAGGGCTGTTGTTTCGGCGATCTAACCCCGTTTAGGTTGGCGAAGAATCTTAGAAGTTGTCCGTCCATAGGGCTACATTCACTACGTATTCTCCTACTCAGGGCTGGCATCGAGTCAAACCCTGGGCCAGAAACATACACCTGCTGTGTATGCCGAAGACGATTACACCACAACTCCACCTCAGTCAAGTGTAATGCCTGCGAGGGGTGGAGTCACCTCAGGGTCTGCTCGGGACTACGGACACACAGACAGTGGACCACGTCGTACGTGGCCCCCTGTTGCTCAAACAGAGCAGCCTCCACGGCTAACCATAGTCCGCCCGAGCAGCCCCACACACTCACACAGCAGCCACACACAGTCACCACAACACAACAACATAACACCACAGACCGTACCACAGCCACTACAGACCACATAACACACACAACCGCACCACCACCCACACGCCGCCGCCAACAACTCCTGGTTCCCCCTACAATCTGCACGGTATGTCAGACCAGGATATTCCGTAATGTGACATCAGTCAAGTGCAACACCTGCCTTGGCTGGTGCCACTTTATGGCATGCTCAGGTCTGCGTACCACGCGAGATTGGACGGGGAACTTCGAGGGCCCGTGTTGCGCTGCTCTGTCGCAGACTCCAATTGCGACGCCCCCCACCACCACCACAGGGCGGCAATCACGTCAGCAGCACACACAGCCAACGGCGGCAAGAACATGCACTTCACTTACACCCCACATCACGACACGTCTCCCGAACCACATGAAGCTTCTTCAATTTAACTGCAACGGGCTACAGAGCAAGATTGAGGAGATAACCGTCTTCATGTGTCGGCATGGTATATTAATAGCTGCGGTCCAAGAGACGAAGTTGCACAGCAATTCAACTTTGTTGAATTGCGCCGGGTACAACGTGCACCGTCGAGATCGCGAGCGAGATAATGGTGGTGGCTTAGCGTTCATCACGCACCACACCGTGCAGTATCGTCTTATCGAAGCAGACATCGACCGCAGGGATACCACCCTAGAATGTCAGGGCATCGCTATCCGGTCAGGCGATGTCGAGCTCGAAATATTTAACATATACATACCCCCTGTCACCTGCTGCCCGGCAGGATATCACCCTGATATAGGTGCGCTCCTCAGAGGTGAAAACCGTATGGTTGTGGGTGACTTTAATGCGCACCACGATCTTTGGCACTCAAGCCTGTCAAACGATCGTAGGGGAACAGACTTGGCTGAGCAGATAGACGATTCGACATTCTGCACAATGAACGACGACGCACCCACCAG